AAAACACTGTTGGATTGGGCATATCAAAGAACCCCATTATCTCAGAATTCATTTTTTTTCAAATCAAACAAAGTTTAATTTTGGACCCTTTGGACCTTCAGGGGTGTAGCTACTCGGAGGCACGACAGCACGTGCATCCACGTCATATTCACCAAAAAAAAAAACAGAGAGAGAGAGAAAGAGAAAGAGACAGACAAAGTTAACATATAGCAATTGGTCACAAAGTTCAATATCCAATGCAATAGAGACGCCCTCACACAAACTGACTCGTCGACTCCGTCTCCATCTAACCACCCTCCTTATCCAGATATTGGCAATATCTCCATAGAATGTTTACAACAAGACAGTGAAACTAGATTTGCTGACAAAAACATTATGGGAAAATGTTGCAAAATACAATGCATACAGAAAGACGTTCTAGTCGGTATTCTTCACTCATAGAAGTTAAAACATTGTACTTTAATAGTGTTTTTTTGTTGTGGGGATGTGTAAGTACCCAAGTCAGGAGCCTGTAAGTGAGTAGTTGTCAGATTTTGCTGTTTCTCATAATTGTTTTTCGTTTATTGTTGTGCATAGTTTGTTTATATGTTGTGCCGTTACACCACTGTCCCAGGTTAGGGGGAGGGTTTGACGCCAACAAACTAGGTTAACCCCGCCACATTCTGTATGTGCCTGTCCCACCTGTAATTCAGAGGTTGTTGTTTGTTGCTGTGTAACATATTTGTTGTTCGTTCTTGATTTTGTACATAAATTATAGGTCGTTAGGTTTCTCGTTTGAATTGTTTTACATTTGTCATCATTAGGCCTTTTATAGCGGACTATGCAGTACGAGCTTTGCTCGTTGTTGAAGGCCATACAGTGACCAGTAGTTGTTAATTTCTGTGTCATTTGGTCTCTTGTGGAGAGTTGTTTCATTGACAATCATACAATATCTTCTTATTTTAATATTGGGAAATTGACATTGTAATTGATGCATTTGCTGTTACGAAGAAACGTTGTTTGTGGTTCCTTTTTTTCTGATTAGAATTGATATTCTTCAAGTTTGAAATTCAAGATTGATTGTTTTAATATGTTTATGCTAACAGAAACTCCACATATAGTATTGTGTTCATGTTTATTATTTGTTTTTTTATACATCTACTTATGGAACAAATCTTCGTGATTTTAAAAAGCTCTCACCGCGTATAAAATAACGCAAACAACAATGTCTTTATTCGACTCTAAGTTAAACAAATAGTTGACAAAAAAACACAACAAAAATGTACAAGTTTTTTTACGGTTGTGATTGTTTTGAAACGCTATATATGCGGAGCTTCCGTGGGGCTTGGCCCCCTTTCCCCCTACCAGGGCTTTGCCCAGCCCTGGACCAACTGGGGCCTTAGGAGGCCCTCAGACCCCACGCCCTTAAGTCTATGATTCAACTTCATTAAGAAGGTAGCTACGCCCCTGACCTTAATGTGGGCCAATCTGTAGACAGGCCCAAAATTAAAAATCAAAATACACGGTTAGATTCAGCATATCAAAGAACACCAATAATTCAATTTTTGATGAAATCAAACAAAATTTAATTTTGGACCCTTTGGTCCTTAGTATGGATCAATTCAAAAACAGGGCCCAAAATCCAAATTCTAAATACCCACTTAGATTCAGCATATTAAGGAACCACAAGAAATTCAAGAATTATTCCCCATTGAAATTGGTCAAGAAATAAGCAATTTATTTAAAGTATTACAAAAGTATTGTTTTTGGCCCCTTTTTCCTAAACCGTTAGGGTCATAACCCTTAAAATCAATCCCAATTTTCCTTTTATGGTATAACACCTTGTGGCACAATTATATAGCAATCCACAGACTTATACTCAAGTTATTGTCTGGAAACCAGAAAATCCTAGTTTTTTGGCCCCTTTTCGACCCCTAATTCCTTAACGGTTTCAACCATGACCCCTGAAATCAATCCCAACCTTCCTTCTAAAGTTTAAAACCTTGTGGTAAAATTTCATAGAGATCCATACTCTTATACACAAGTTATTGTCCTGAAACAAGAAAAATGCTTGTTTTTGGCCCTTTTTGGCCCCTAATTACTAAATAGCTCAGACAATAACCCCCAAAGTCAATCCCAACCTTTCTATTGTGGTATGGAACCTTGTGCTAAAATATCATAGAGATCCATACACTTATACTTAAGTTATTGTCTGCGAACCAAAATGTCTTCGGACGACGAAGCAGACATCCACATAACATAACATAACATAACATAATTTTGCAGTTGTATAAAAAGAGGCTGCATATTTATGTATCCCAATGAAAATAACAAATCCAGCTGAGGTGGTGAGCACTGCACAATTTGAAGTACACCATTTCATTAATCCAATTTGGTGCCAATGTTTTTAGGTTTCTTATCCGAAATTAAACTTTCCAAGAGTGATTCTCTCCTTCCTTGACCAAGCAGTGTTGTGGTCAATGGTTGTAATAGTCAGTCAATTGAGATCTCCCTAGTGAAGCCAGGGGATCTCAAATGTCCATTGCGAGGAAGGTCTGGCTTACGTTAATTAAAGAACCTGTGTGAGCACATACCCCACCCCCCAAATTGTCACTGGGCAAACAAATCTCACTAGATTTTAAAGGGGCATAACTCCTAGAAAAAATTTGAATCATAATTTTCTGACGATATGCATATCAATATAGCATGTCCTTATTATCTACAAAGTTTCATGACATTCTGTTGTGTAGTTTCAGAGGAGTTACGATGACAAACTGTCATACTGTTGCAGTAGTATATCGAGGCCAAAAAGTGCATGAAGTTTGTTGTGTGGTTTCAGAGGAATTGCGATGACAAGAACAGGACTGACTAACTGTAGTATATTGAGGCCAATAACTTCAAAGGGGCATTACTCCTAGAAAAAAATTGAATCATAATTTCCTGTCAATATGCACATCTACATAGTATGTCCTTATTATCTACAAAGTTTCATGACATTCTGTTGTGTAGTTTCAGAGGAGTTCCGATGACAAACTGTTGCAGTAGTATATTGAGGCCAATAAGTGCATGAAATTCTGTTGTGTGGTTTCAGAGGAGTTGCAATGACAGGACTGACGGACTGGCGGACTGACGGACGGACAGACAGACAGACAGACAGACAGATGGACGGGTCAAAAACATTATACCTGACTCAAAAACTGCGTGGGGTATAATAAGTTACTATAATGGCCGTTCTTACATTTGTGAAATGGCTGTTCTGACTCACCAACATACTGTTCACCACATTTACACTTGGTTCTTAGCATTGTGTATGAGTTTTATAAAATTTGGATGAGGAAAACTAAACTAGAGTGAGGAAATGGAAATTGTACAGACAGAAGAACGGTCAAGGGTAACACTTAATGCCCCCTTCACCTAGCAGCAGGGGCATAAAAAATACAACAAGAGTGCACATGCTGAAATGTCTCTCCTGCTTTACTGAGTCTTAAAGATAAATTTTTTACTACAAGTATCACATAAATTTAACATTTTTAAAGATCCATGACAACGAGGTGATAGTCAGATAAATCCTGTCAGACAGACATGTACACCTAACAGTTATTCCATAAAACAAAAATAATTGACCTATTGCTTATGATAATAGAAAAAAACAGACCAAAACACAAAAACTTAACATTGACCAATGAACCATGAAAATGAGGTTAAGGTCAGATGATACCTGCCAGACGGACATGTACACCTTACAATTATTCCATATACCAAATATATCTGACATATTACTATCAGTAATTGAAAACCTGAGACCAAACACAAACACTTAACATTGACTAATGAACCATGAAAATGAGGTCAAGGTCAGATGATACCTGCCATACAGACATGCACACCTTCCAATTATTCCACACCAAATATAGCTGACCTAGTCATTGCTATTACTATATAAGTATTTGAAAAAAAGACCAAAACACAAAAACTTAACATGGACCAATGAACCATGAAAATGAGATCAAGGTCAGATGATACCGTCTAAGACAGATGTGTTCACCTAACATAATCATTCCATACATCAAATATAGTTGACCTATTGCTTAGAGTACTTAAAAACCAGACCAAAACACAAAATCCTTACATTGACCAATGAGCCATGAAAATGAGGTCAAGGTCAGATGAAACCTGCCAGACTGACCTGTACCCTTTACAATCATTCCATACACCACACATAGTTGACCTACTGCTTATAGTATCAGAGAAACAGACAAAATCACGTAACTTTAACCTTAATCACTAATCCATGAAATGAAGTCGAGGTCAGGTGAACACTATCTGACAGACATGTGGACGTTGCAAGGAACCCATTTACCAAATATAGTTTTCTTTTTACTCATAATAAGTCAGAGATTCACATGACAAAAAAACTATAATTTTTTTAGCAGTTGCTGAACCATAAAAATGAGGTCAAAGACAATGGACATATGACAGACGGAAACTTAGTAACATAAGGTATCTGCATATAACATGTATAAGGTATGAAACATCTAGGTCTTTTACCTTCTGACATATAAAGTTTTATATAAAATAGTTTACACTGCTGTGGCTGAATAGTTTTCCCTATGTCTCGAATACTGCAACTTTCATCGCAGGCGAGACAAAAAATAGAGAATAATGGGGTGCAAAAGTATAAAGAATAAGTGTGGAAAATAAAAGAATTTAAGGTAATACAATACTGATTACAGAAATGAGCAATGTACAGAATAAAGAAATCACCAAATTACATGAAAATTTAATAGTAGTCATTTTCATGAGAATTTCACAAAATAAGCATATAAAGAGAAATGCCCTTAACATTTTAGGAATACAGAAATTAAGGACCCCCATCCAGACCCTCCCTTATGGGGCAGGGGAGCTAAAAATTACTTTTAAATAGTAATCTGTTTTTTATTTGATATGCATTCCATCTAAATGACCTTGAGTTTCGAAGATTAAATGTATATTTTTCTGTTACTTGTACTAAGAGTACTTACAATGTTGTCTATCACATGTGGGTAATTTATCTTCTATAGACATGTATGTTGAAAAAACCAATAACAAAACTGAAAATATAAATATTGATAAATATGAATACATTCTATTTTAATATAAGCATTTTAATATTTTGGATAGACTGATTGATTGGTGTTTAACGCCACTTTCAGCACTATTGCACTTTTTCCTGGTGGTCAGTTTTTATTGGTGAAGGAAATCAGAGTGCCTGGAGAGAATCACCAACCTTTGGTAGGATAAACTGTTTACACAGAGATATGTCTCGCCTATTTGTTATTTTGATAATGCAAATGTTAAAATCAAAATAGCAATACTTTAACATGTAACTTACGCAAATATTCAAAGTCAATGAACCATGACTGAAGGTACAGGGCTAAACAATCTCCAATGAAAGGAGATGTGCCAATGCTAATACAACTGCAAACCAAATACCATTAACTTTTCATAAGTCGTTCCCTTTAAACAAACCTAAACACAAACATTAACTTGTAAACTATGTAAGTTTCAAAGTCAATGAACCATAATTAGGGGGTGGGGTTATGTAATCTCCATGGAGATGAAACTTGCAATACATTTGCATACCGAATATCATTAATATTGACTTAACATTAGTGGTTCATCTTAAATTGACCTAATCACAAACTAATACATGTAAACTAAGCAAAAGTTTCAAAGTCAATAGACCATGACTGAGGGGTAAGGACCAAATATTCTCCATGGAAATGAGATGTGATAATGCTTATACAACTGCATACCAATTATCATTGACCTACTACTAACAGTTCCCCTTAAACTGACCTAATCACAAACTAATACATGAAAACTAAGGAAAAGTTTCAAAGTCAATAGACCATGAATGAGGGGGCAGGGTCAAATAATCTCCATGGAAATGAGATATGCCAATGCTTATACAACTGCATACCAAATATCATTGACCTACCACTATAGTGGTTCCCCATAAACTGACCTAATCACAAACTAATACATGTAAACTAAGCAAAGTTTCAAAGTCAATAGACCTTGACTGAGGGGGGTGGGGCCAAATAATTTTCATGGTAATGAGATGTGCTAATGCTAATACAACTGCATACCAAATATCATTGACCTACCACTAGTGGTTCACCATGAACTAGACCTAATCACAGACTAATACATTGTTGACGCCGCTGCCGCCAGAAACAGCATACCTATGTCTCGCTTTTTGACTCCGTCAAGGCGAGACAAAAACTATCAGTCCTAGTCAATTAATATATTTTTTGGGGGGATAGAAATAAACTGCATTTAACAATATAGAGAAATATTTGAAACTGATATTATAATGTACTGTGAGGGTGCATGTACATAAAGATGAAATGTTTATATGATTTTAGAAGGTTTTTTTTTTCAGTTTAAAATAAAATGCTCGGCTGGGCGCAGCTTGATACAACCGCAGAGGTCGAACCCTGAACAGTTGGGGCAAGTATGGACACAACATTCAAGCTTGATACAGCACTGAATTTGGATTGTGATTAAATATTTGACACAGCACAGGTTTCTGACACAGAATATGAATGTGGTATAAGAACTTAAAATTTTTTAATTTACCTATTCAAACCATATCATTATTATTTGCTTTTATATATAAATCAGAAATAACCAATTTAAAATGGAAAATTTTAAAGAAAAAAAAGGAAAAAAAATCCCCCCCCAAAAAATTTTTTGAACCCCCTTATGATTCATCACCCCCAAACTCAATCCCAGCCTTCTCTTTGTGGTATGGTACCTTGCAGTACAATTTCAGAAAGATCCATACACTTGAACACAAGTTATTGTCTGGAAACTAGAAAAATGCTTGTTTTTTGGCCCCAAATTCATAAACGTTTAGGGCAATTACCCCCAAACTCAAACCCAGCTTTCCCTTTGTGATATGGAACCTTGCAGTACAATTTCATAAAGATCCATACACTTACACACAAGTTATTGTCCTGGAACTAGAAAAATGCTTGTTTTTCTGCCCTTTTATGGCCCCTAATTCCTAAAATTTTGAGGGAATTACCCCCAAAATCAATCCCAGCCTTCCCTTTGTGGTATGATACCTTGCAGTACAATTTCAGAGAGATCCATACACTTGAACACAAGTTATTGTCTAGAAACTAGAAAAATGCTTATTTTTGGTCCCTTTTTGGCCCTTTCTTCCTAAGCTTTTTGGTCAATTACCCCCAAACTCAATTCCAGCTTTCCCTTTGTGATATGGAACCTTGTAGTACAATTTCATAAAGATCCATACACTTACACACAAGTTATTGTCATGAAACTAGAAAAATGCTTGTTTTTTGCCCCTTTTTGGCCCCTAATTCCTAAAATTTGGAGGCAATTAGCCCCAAAATCAATCCCAGCATTCCCTTTGTGATATGGAACCTTGTGATACAGTGTCAGAGAGATCCATACACTTACACACAAGTTATTGTCATGAAACTAGCAAAATGCTTGTTTTTTGCCCCTTTTTGGCCCCTAATTCCTAAAATTTGGAGGCAATTACCCCCAAAAACAATCCCAGCATTCCCTTTGTGATATGGAACCTTGTGGTACAATGTCAGAGAGATCCATACACTTACACACAAGTTATGTCTGGAAGTTACAAAAATGCTTATTTTTGACCCCTTTTTGGCCCCTAATTCCTTAACTGTTGGTACCATAACCACCAAAATCAATCCCCACCTTCCTTTTGTGGTATTGAACCTTATGGTAAAATTTCATTGAGATCCATTCACTTAAACTTAAGTTAGAGTGCGAAAACTAATGTGTCTTCAGACGACGACGACGACGACGACGATGACGACGACGCCAACGTCATACCAATATACGACCACAAAATTTTTTTTGCGCTCGTATAAAAATGAAAAAAATAGAAAAAGGACAATTTTAAATTAATCTTCAGAATAATAGTTTAGATTCTATTAAGTGATCTTCAAGAAGCTTTCATGCATCCAAGTTTTGTAAAATTCAGAGAATGTTTGAAAAGTTATTCAAGTTAATAAACAGCTGAACCTAGAGCGCATGATATATCTTGAGCATATGAAAATGTTTGCAAGAATAAAATGGAGAATTTAGAAGACATATCTATAAACAATGATAAATCAGAAGTCAGTAAAATAGCTCATTAGAAAAATTTGCATGGGGAAGTCATTAGGCATATAATCCTGAATCAAGAAAACCATTATATTTTTTTAATTATGGCACCCTCAACAGAGTTGGGGTGACATATTGTTATTGTTCGTTTCTTTTTTTTCTTATTATTATGGTTCCCTCAACGGAGTTGGGGTGACATATTGTTATTCTACGTTTCTTTTTTTATGGCACCCTCAACTGAGTTGGGGTGATATATTGTTATTGTTCGTTTCTTTTTTTTCTTTTTATTATTATGGCACCCTCAACGGAGTTGGGGTGACATATTGTTATTGTTCGTTTCTTTTTTTCTTATTATGGCACCCTCACCCTCAACGGAGTTGGGGTGACATATTGTTATTCTACGTTTCTTTTTTTTCTTTTTTTATCGCACCCTCAACGGAGTTGGGGTGACATACTGTTATTCTACGTTTCTTTTTTTTCTTGTTATTTTTCTTGCACAAATTTTGTCCGCGCGAGTTCTTGGAATCCAATGGACCAATGTTGATGGAACTCTACTATAATGAGGACCCCCATGTAAAATTGTGCACCTTGCTATGGAATGGTAAAAAATGGCCGCCGTTTCCATGGAAACAGCAAAAATGCGAAAAAAATCAAAGTGTTCCAAACTGGAGGAAACTCCACAGGAATGGTAACTGGCATGTGCTGATTTGCAGTTTGAGATCGGAATTTTCAAAATGGCTGCAGTTACCATGGAAACAGCTAAAATATCAAAAATTCTAACTCTTTCATTATAAGACCCAACTGGATGAAACTTAATGAAAATGTTACCCAGTATGCCAAGATGCCAAGACGATATTTGGATACTCCAAAATGGCTGCCGTTGTCATGGAAACTGGGGGCAAGTTTAACATTGACCCTATGGGAAAATGCATAAAATCAGCATTTTCTTAAAGAGTATTTCACCAAAGTCAATGAAACTGTATTGATATATAACATGACATGTGGCAATGAGATGTCTGCTTTTAGAATTTTGGAATTATCCACTGTAACCATGGCTGCAGCATAAATGTCCAAAATTTCAAAAAAAATCAAAATGCTGCAAACTGGATGAAACTTTACAGAAATGGTAACTGGCATAGGCAGAGTTGCATTTTGAAGTTGGAATTGTCAAAATGGCCGCCGTAACCATGGAAACAGCAAAAATGTCCAAAATTTCAAAATGCTCCAAACTTAATGAAACTTTACAAAAAGGATAATTTGCATGTGTAGATGCACTCTTTGACTTTGGAATCTTCTAAATGGCTGCCTGACTCACCTGGCAATGGGGGAAGGGTGCCATCCTCTATTGCTTGCAATTGCAAATCTAGTTTATTATTATTTTTCTTCGACTATTTTTGTCTGGAGCAGTTCTCAGAATAGAATGGACCAAAGTTGATGGAACTATGGTATAATGTTGACCACCATGCAAAGTTGTCCCTCTGACTTTTGAATGGTCAAGATGGCCCTGTTCCCATGGAAACAGCAAAAATGCGAAAAAAATCAAAGTGTTCCAAACTGGAAGAAACTCCACAGGAATGGTAACTGGCATTTGCTGATTTGCAGTTTGACTTTGAAATTTTCAAAATGGCTGCCGTTACCATGGAAACAGCTAAAATATCAAAAATTGTAACTCTTTCGTTATAAGACGCAACTGGATGAAACTTTATGAAAATGTTACCCAGTCTGCTAAGATGTCAAGAACAATATTTGGATATTCCAAAATGGCCGCCGTTGTCATGGAAACTGGGGGCAAATTTTACATTTACCCTATGGGAAAATCATAAAACCAGCATTTTCTCAAAGAGTATTTCACTAAAGTCAATGAAACTGTAATGATATATAACATGACATGTGGCAATGAGATGTCTGCTTTTAGAATTTTGGAATTATCCACTGTAACCATGGAAACAGCAATAATGTCCAAAATTTCAAAAATAATCAAATTGCTGCAAACTGGATGAAACCTTACAGAAATGGTTACTGGCATGGGCAGAGTTGCATTTTGAAGTTGGAATTTTCAAAATGGCTGCCGTAATTCCTATGGGAAAAAACATCAAAGCAGCTAGTCCGAAAGTACTCCTGACGTCCAACGGCTGTTTTGCCAGACAAGCTGGGGTCGTGGGACGTCAGAGCTCGTCCCATATCAAAAAGGGGATATTTGCACGTCCAAAATAGATGCCCTGCTTCGTCGCTTCTGGTGCCAACGGACGGCCTTGGAATTATATAAATGGGGTATCAAATTGTTCATTTTTCATTTATCTCTTCATTTATGTAAGTTTCACCTACCTGCCACCCTTTATTTTCTCATTTTTAGACAGTTTTCACAGCGACCCATATCGATTCAGACATTTTTACTTTTATTTTCAAATGGACTTCAAGTTATGAGAGATTTTGCGACCTCGAGACTCAAATATGCAAATATTTATACTTTTTTCACCTCCTTTATAGGAGATCGATATTTAACATTTAGTAGCCAACCACCATTTTTCACCTCCTTTACAGGAGATCGGTATTAAGCATTTAGTGCCAACCACGATAACATTCAGAAGCTCTCGGATATTTACATTGCTTGCATCGTAAATGAGCGAGGTGTTAGATTATATATTCATATTGGCCTAGGGTCATATGCATACATCATTTCCCATAGTCCATTTGTGCCTTACTTTTTTCTCGTGATCACATGACAATCTTTCAAAATGAAAGTCAAAATGCCAGAATCGGTGGGTCATTGTGAAAACTGTCTAAATATGAGAAAGTAAAGGGTGCAGGTAGGTGAAACTTACATAAATGAAGAGATAAATGAAAAATGAACAAATTGATACCCGATTTATATAATTCCAAGGACGTCCGTTGGCACCAGAAGCGACGAAGCAGGGCATCTATTTTGGACGGGCAAATATCCACTTTTTGATATGGGACGAGCTCTGACGTCACACGGCCCCAGCTTGTCTGGCAAAACAGCCATTGGACGTCAGAGTAATCTCGGACTACAAAGCAGCATTTTCTTAAGGAATATCAGATCAAAGTGAAACAAGTTTCATGTATATATAACATGGCATAAGTCAATGTTGAAACTGTTGTTGGAACTTTCTAAATGGAAACCGTTACCATGGAAACAGCAAAAATGTCCAAAAAATCAAAATGCTGCAAACTGGATGAAACTTTACAGAAATAGTAACTGGCATGGGCAGAGTTGCATTTTGAAGTTGGATTTTTCAAAATGGCCGCTGTAACCATGGAAACAGCAAAAATGTCCAAGAGTTCAAAATGCTCCAAACTTAATGAAACTTTACAAAAATGATAATTTGCATGTGTAGATGCACTCTTTGACTTTGGAATTTTCTAAATGGCTGCCGCTCACCTGGCAATGGGGGAAGGGTGCCATCCGTTATTGCTAGCTATTACAAATCTGAAGTTATTATGGCACCCTCAACAGAGTTGGGGTGACATATTGTTATTCTACGTTTCTTTTTTTTCTTATTATTTTTCTTGCACAAATTTTGTCCGCGCGAGTTTTTGGAATCCAATGGACCAATGTTGATGGAACTCTACTACAATGAGGACCCCAATGTAAAGTTGTGTACCTTGCTATGGAATGGTAAAAAATAGCCGCCATTTCCATGGAAACAGCAAAAATGCGAAAAAAATCAAAGTGTTCCAAACTGGAAGAAATTCCACAGGAATGGTAACTGGCATGTGCTGATTTGCAGTTTGACTTTGAAATTTTCAAAATGGCTGCCGTTACCATGGAAACAGCTAAAATATCAAAAATTCTAACTCTTTCGTTATAAGACGCAACTGGATGAAACTTTATGAAAATGTTACGCAGTCTGCTAAGATGTCAAGACAATATTTGGATATTCCAAAATGGCCGCCGTTGTCATGGAAACTGGGGGCAAATTTTACATTTACCCTATGGGAAAATCATAAAACCAGCATTTTCTCAAAGAATATTTCACTAAAGTCAATGAAACTGTAATGATATATAACATGACATGTGGCAATGAGATGTCTGCTTTTAGAATTTTGGAATTATCCACTGTAATCATGGAAACAGCAATAATGTCCAAAATTTCAAAAATAATCAAACTGCTGCAAACTGGATGAAACTTTACAGAAATGGTTACTGGCATGGGCAGAGTTGCATTTTGAAGTTGGAATTTTCAAAATGGCCGCCGTAATTCCTATGGGAAAAAACATCAAAGCAGCATTTTCTTAAGGAATATCAGATCAAAGTGAAACAAGTTTCATGTATATATAACATGGCATAAGTCAATGTTGAAACTGTTGTTGGAACTTTCGAAATGGAAACCGTTACCATGGAAACAGCAAAAATGTCCAAATAAATCAAAATGCTGCAAACTGGATGAAACTTTACAGAAATAGTAACTGGCATGGGCAGAGTTGCATTTTGAAGTTGGATTTTTCAAAATGGCCGCTGTAACCATGGAAACAGCAAAAATGTCCAAGAGTTCAAAATGCTCCAAACTTAATGAAACTTTACAAAAATGATAATTTGCATGTGTAGATGCACTCTTTGACTTTGGAATTTTCTAAATGGCTGCCTGACTCACCTGGCAATGGGGGAAGGGTGCCATCTGCTATTGCTAGCAATTACAAATCTAGATATAATGGCACCCTCAACAGAGTTGGGGTGACATATTGTTATTCTAAGTTTCTTTTTTTTCTTATTATTTTTCTTGCACAAATTTTGTCCACGCGAGTTCTTGGAATCCAATGGACCAATGTT